TTTCTGAAGTAGTGGGCCAATTTTGATATAAGATGCCATTTATGAAAGGAAAATCTCTATTCTATACCCTGAAATATTTTTCATTAGTTCAGCTAACAAATAGCCATTGTTATAAGAATAAATACAAAATGACTTAAAATTTGCAAATTTGGATCGATTTTTTCTAATTGCGTTCTTAGGTCCACCACTTCTAAAATAGTTGGTAGATTTTGATAAAATATACCAATTATGAAAGGCGAAGGTCCATACTTTACAGTGAAATAAGTTCAAATAATATGACCGATGAAAAGCTTAAAATATCCATTAAAATTCACAAATACCCGAAAAGAGTAGTTTTTGGTCAATTTTCTGTAATCACTTTCACAGGTCCATAACTTCTGAAGAAGATGATCGATTTTTATAAAAAAACTCAATTATGAAAGATAAATTTCCACTCTTTACACTATAATATGTTATATTGCTCCCACAAATAAAAACTATAGTTATGGGGAAAAATACACGATCACTTTAAATTTGCAAACTTTGGTCGATTTTGAGTATTTACTTTCTCAAGCCCATAACTTCTGAAGTAGTGAATCGATTTTGATGAAATCCCTTAATCATGAAAGAGAAATATCTACATTATATACACATATAACTATACAGAATATAACTTTGCTATATTGAATCAATAAAATGTCAAAGATATCGGGCCAAATACACAATTACTTAAAAGTTGTAATTTGGGGTCGATTTTTTGTAATTACTTCCTCCGGCCCATATCTTCTAAAGTAGATGATCAATTTTTATGAACTATACCAATTATGAAAGAGTAGTATCCACCCTTTAAGTTGAAATTAAATTTTATTTGTCTAGCCAATAAAATTCGAAAGATATCGGGCAAAATACACAATTACTTAAGAGTTGTGATTTATGGTTAATTTTTCGTAGTGAAGTTCTCAGGTTCATAACTTTTGAAGTAGTGGGCGAATTGTTATGAAATTCCCCAATTATGAAAGGGTAATATCCATTCTTTACGATTAAATAAATTTCAACGGGTTTAGCCAATAATATACTAAAGATATCGGGCAAAATGCACAATTACTTAAAAGTTTTCATTTATGGTTAATTTTTCGTACTGAAGTTCTCAGGTCCATAACTTTTGAAGTAGTGGGCGAATTGATATAAAATACCCCAATTATGAAAGGGTAATATCCACTCTTTAAGTTGAAATTAATGTTAAAGGGCCTAACCAATAAAATACCAAAGATATGGGGGAAAATCCGCAATTACTTAAAATATGTACTTTACGGTTAATTTTTCGTAGTGAAGTTCTCAGGTTCATAACTTCTGAAATTGTTGGCCGATTTTTATGAAATTCCCCAAATATGAAAGGGTAATATCCAATCTTTATGATGAAATTGATTACAAAGGGTCTAGCCAACAAAATACCAAAGATATTGGGAAAAATTCGCAATTACTTAAAAATTATAATTTTTGGTCATTTTTCGCAATCTTTTTCTCAGGCCCATAACTTCTGAAGTAGTTGGTCGATTTTGATGAAATAACCCAACTATGAAAGGCAAACATCTACTCTTTTAAATGAAATATTTATCATTAGCTTAGCCAGTGAAAAAAATCATAGTTATGGGGAAAAATCACAATGACTTAAAATTTGCAAATTTTTGTCGATATTTTCGTATCACATTCTCAGGCCCATAACTTCCGAATTAGTTGATGGATTTTAATGAAATAAAAAATTTTTAAAGGTAGAAAATGTCCTTATTGAATTCGTGAAAAGTATCATTGGAAATGATAATGAAATTTCCGAAAAAAATCGCCATAAATATGATTCCTTAAAATTTGATTTTCATTTATCTTCGAAAATCATTTTCTTTCGTTTTGTTTTTCCAATATATTTCCAATTTTTCCGCCATTATCCTTATCCGTCCATCAAAAATTACATTTCGATAGGAATCCAACGCCATCGGTTTGAGGTCGATGGTATGCAAACAACAGCAAAAAAACAATGAAATTGCAAAAAAAGAGCCCAGCAGAAAAAAAGTTCCTACGACTATTTATTTATTGTTGAGTTTTGTTTTTTGCATGTTAAATCTTGATCGCTTTGCTGGCACATCCAATGTAATAACTATATTGCAGTATATACATATATGTGTATATGTATGCATTGTTAACTTTGTGTGTGTTTATGTGGATTTTGTCCTCGTATATTATGACCTGACGACGACCTATTGCAGATGAGCGACAATGTTTAGCTGATTGTGAATGTATGGGTGTTGTGTGTGTGTGTGAGTGTGTTTTTTGCAGATACAATCAATTAAAAAAATATATAATAATGTTTAGATATATAACAGATATATAACAGATCTATTGATTAGCTTAAGAACTTGACATCATTGTACGGCAAGGACATTTTGAGAAAATATTCTTTAAAAATCCACGCCTAGAATGCCGCATGGCCTTAGACAAATATTCTTTAAAAATCCACGCCTAGAATGCCGCATGGCCTGAGACAAATATTCTTTAAAAATCCACGCCTAGAATGCCGCATGGCCTGAGACAACTTTAAAAATCCACGCCTAGAATGCCGCATGGCCTATTGCCTAGAATGCCGCATGGCCTGAGACAAATATTCTAGTTGCTTGTGAGACAAATATTCTTTATGCCTAGAATGCCGCATGTGTTGTGAATGCCGCATGGCCTGAGACAAATATTCTTTAAAAATCCACGCCTGAATGCCGCATGGCCTGAGACAAATATTCTTTAAAAATCCACGCCTAGAATGCCGCATGGCAATCAATATTCTTTAAAAATCCACGCCTAATGCCGCATGGCCTGATAAAAATCCACGCCTAAATGCCGCATGATATATCCACGCCTAGAATGCCGCATGGCCTGAGACAAATATTCTTTAAAAATCCACGCCTAGAATGCCGCATGGCCTGAGACAAATATTCTTTAAAAATCCACGCCTAGAATGCCGCATGGCCTGAGACAAATATTCTTTAAAAATCCACGCCTAGAATGCCGCATGGCCTGAGACAAATATTCTTTAAAAATCCACGCCTAGAATGCCGCATGGCCTGAGACAAATATTCTTTAAAAATCCACGCCTAGAATGCCGCATGGCCTGAGACAAATATTCTTTAAAAATCCACGCCTAGAATGCCGCATGGCCTGAGACAAATATTCTTTAAAAATCCACGCCTAGAATGCCGCATGGCCTGAGACAAAAAAATATTCCTTATTCTTTAAAAATCCACGCCTAGAATGCCGCATGGCCTGAGACAAATATTCTTTAAAAATCCACGCCTAGAATGCCGCATGGCCTGAGACAAATATTCTTTAAAAATCCACGCCTAGAATGCCGCATGGCCTGAGACAAATATTCTTTAAAAATCCACGCCTAGAATGCCTGGCCTGAGAAAATATTCTTTAAAAATCCACGCCTAGAATGCCGCATGGCCTGAGACAAATATTCTTTAAAAATCCACGCCTAGAATGCCGCATGGCCTGAGACAAATATTCTTTAAAAATCCACGCCTAGAATGCCGCATGGCCTGAGACAAATATTCTTTAAAAATCCAAGCCCAAAACCCCGCTTTGCCTTGGCCAAATATTCTTTAAAAATCCATGCCCAAAATCCCGCTTTGCCTTGGCCAAATATTCTTTAAAAATCCAAGCCCAAACTCCCGCTTTGCCTTGGCCAAATATTCTTTAAAAATCCATGCTTAAAATCCTGCCTGGCCTGGAGAAATATTCTTTAAAAATCCACGCCTAAAATCCTGCCTGGCCTGGGAGAAATATTCTTTAAAAATCCACGCCTAAAATGCCGCTTGTCTTGGCAGAAATATTCTTTAAAAAACCACGCCTAAAATGCCGCCTGGCCTGAGACAAATATTCTTTAAAAATCCACGCCTAAAATCCTGCCTGGCCTGAGACAAATATTCTTTAAAAATCCACGCCTAAAATCCAGCCTGGCCTTAGAAATTTTCTTTAAAAATCCACGCCTAAAGTGCCGCTTGTCTTGGCTGAAATTTTCTTTAAAAATCCACGCCTAAAGTGCCGCTTGTCTTGGCTGAAATTTTCTTTAAAAATCCACGCCTAAAATGCCGCTTGTCTTGGCTGAAATTTTCTTTAAAAATCCACGCCTAAAATGCCGCTTGTCTTGGCTGAAATTTTCTTTAAAAATCCACGCCTAAAATCCTGCCTGGCCTGAGACAAATATTCTTTAAAAATCCACGCCTAAAATGCCGCATGGCCTGAGACAAATATTCTTTAAAAATCCACGCCTAAAATGCCGCATGGCCTGAGACAAATATTCTTTAAAAATCCACGCCTAAAATCCTGCCTGGCCTGAGACAAATATTCTTTAAAAATCCACGCCTAAAATCCTGCCTGGCCTGAGACAAATATTCTTTAAAAATCCACGCCTAAAATCCTGCCTGACCTGAGCGAAATATTCTTTAAAAATCCACGCCTAAAATCCTGCCTGGCCTGGGAGAAATATTCTTTAAAAAACCACGCCTAAACTGCCGCCTGGCCTGAGCGAAATATTCTTTAAAAATCCACGCCTAAACTGCCGCCTGGCCTGAGCGAAATATTCTTTAAAAATCCACGCCTAAACTGCCGCCTGGCCTGAGCGAAATATTCTTTAAAAATCCACGCCTAAACTGCCGCCTGGCCTGAGACAAATATTCTTTAAAAATCCACGTCTAAAATCCTGCCTGGCCTGGGAGAAATATTCTTTAAAAATCCACGCCTAAAATCCTGCCTGTCCTGGGAGAAATATTCTTTAAAAATCCACCCCTAAAATCTGGTTTGGCCTGGGACAAATATTCTTTAAAAATCCACGCCTAAAATCCCACCTAGCCTAGTACAAATATTATCCCAAAAGTATGCTTTATTTTTTATTATTTCTCCTTCCCCTCCCCTCCAAACTAAAAAAACAATGTGAAGCCTTATTAACCCGTAAAAATTGTCTTGTGGTATATTTCTAGGGTTTCCTCGAAGATCATCCATGCACCAGTGCCCCACCAGATACCATGTATGCCCTCTTATGGTCAATGTGTGCGGTTTTTGGCATAGTATTTGTGCTGCTTGGTAAGTACAAGAAATTTATAAGCCTCTCCCCACACCCTGAACAAAAAAATCATAAATCTGAAAACTCATACACACACAAATACGCCCGATATTCGGTGAGTGGCGCCCAACCACCACAAAAAAACGTAATTTGCCAAATACCCCCAGAAGTGTGTGCATAAAGTTCACCTATTTTACAACAACATTTCAAGAGCTATGTTGCATAAACAACAACCACAAAATGCCTGAAGGTCGTTCGGTGACACATCACTTGGGTATCACGCACAAAAAAATAATAAAAAAGGGATTGGAGAAAAAATCTGTGTATGGAAAAGTAAAAAAAAGGATTCTTATCAGAAAAACTAGAATCTCCCCGAACCTCCTACTTGGAAACTGTGTTAAAGTCCAGCTGACCCCATAAAACCTAACAGACCCTGATCTATGTCTTCTAATTTCCTTTCTTTATTTTCCCCCTTTAGGTTACCGCTGCCTGCGTGCCGTGGGTTTTCTAACCGGAGCCTTTATTGGCATTAAAGCTGTGGCCATGATGCGTATCTATATCACGGGCTATTTAGGTGAACCGGCCGATGCTGCCTCATCTCTTGTCGGTGGCTTAGTGGGTGCTGTACTCGGTTCCACATATCCGGTGGCAACATTTTTCATATCGGCCTTTGCCGGTGTGATTTTGGCCGGTGCTGCCATGGCGGTATGTGTGGCCACAATGCCGGATAATGAATTTGGGGTAAGTTTTGGTCGGCGATTTTGAATCTAAAGAAGTGAATCGATGTGTTTTTTCTTTTACAGCAAATCGAAATAGCTGTGGCCTTAATTGGCGGCGCCATTATTTGTTCGGTTCTAACGTTGTGCAGTGCAAAATATGTGACAATTTTAACGACAAGTGTGGTGGGATCGGCCATGATCATATGTTCGGTGGATTTCTTTTTGCATGGTCTGCAATTGACCACATGGGTAAGTAATAAAAGAAAAAAACGTATAGTCCTGAGGCTCTAAAAGTCTCTGAGAAATTTGATGACGGAGAAACTTTCTTTAATAGTCCAGGCCTACAATTCCACCTGGCCTGGGACAAAAATTCCTTAAAAACCTTACTTGATCTGGCACAAATATTCTTTAAAAATCCACACCTAAAATGCTGCTCGGTTTGGGACAAATATTCATTAAAAATCCTCGACTCAAATTCCGCTTGGCCTAGGACAAATAATCGTATAAAATCGAAGCCTAAAATCATGCTATGCCTTGGGCAAATATCCTTTGAGAATCCGCACCTAAAATCCTGCTTGGTCTGGGACAAATTTGTTTAAAAATCTTCGCCTAAAATCCCGCTTCACCTGGGACACAATTCTTTAAAAAATCCATGCCTAAAATCCCGCTTCACCTGGTACAAATATTGTTTAAAAATCGACACCTAAAATACCGCTTCACCTGGGACAAATATTCTTTACAAATCGACGCCTAAAATACGGCTTGACCTTGGACAAATATTCCCTTAAACCCACGGCCAAAATCCTGCATCGTTTAGTACAAATATTGTATAAAAATCGAAGCCTAAAATCCCTCTTCATCTGGTACAAATATTCTTTAAAAATCGACGCCTAAAATCCTACTTGGCCTAGTAAAAATATTCTCCAAAAAGCCTCGGCTAAAATCTCGCTTGGTCTGGGACAGATATTCTTGAAAAAATGAACGCCAAAAATCCCGCTTCATCTGGTACAAATATACTTAAAAAATCAACGCCAAAAATCCCGCCTGGCCTGGTACAAATATTCTTTGAAAAATCCGTTTGGCCTGGAGCTTTTCAAAATCCACGCCTAAAATCCTGCCTAGTTTGGGACAAATATTTTTTAAAATTTTTCGGCTGACCTGGGAAAAAAGTTCTTTCAAAATCCCGCTTGATCTGACAGAGATTTATTTCAGATCCAAATCATGTTGGGCGCCATTTTTTTAAAGTGATGCCCTTTTTAAGATTTCAATATCCACCTCGAAGCTCAATAGGACTTTTTTTCCGAATCTGAAAAAAATCAATCATGTTGGGCGCCATTTTAGAAATTGAGTTTAACTGTTTAGATATTATTTTAAGATGCTCGGAAAAAGACGAATTTTATCCTGTTGGGCGCCATTTCTTTATTTTTCTCGTTAAGTCCCCTAGACATTTTCTAAGGAACGACCCTATTATGTTGGGCGCCACTTTTATAAATCAATGTTTTTTCGGATTTTTTTCTGTAGCCAATACCACGAAATATTTTCCTTGTTATCTAAATTCTTTTTTTGAGTCTAAAAAAATCAGTCATGTTGGGCGCCATTTTCAAAATCGACTTTTTTCAGATTTTTTCTGCAGATACCCCTGACTAAACAGTCATTATTTTAACATGCCAGAAAGAACAAGATTTTGTCACGTTGGGCGCCATTTCATCTTCTATCTTTTAAAATTATCCAAAATAAAAAAAAAATCATGTTGGGCGCCATTTTATAAAATGGGGATTTTCCGAATTTTATTTAGTTTAGTAAAGCTCAAATATACTTTTTGTCGTATCTTAACACAATAAAAATTAATTTTCACGTTGGGCGCCATTTTATAAAGTTGTGGGGTTTTCCGAATTTTAGTTCCATAATGAAGCTTAAAGTTACATTTTTGTCGTATTTAAACACAAAAATGTGTTTTCACGTTGGGCGCCAATATTTTTTGTTCTTATTTAGTGAGTCCATATTAGCGTTTCCTCATTCTCCAAAAGTTTTTTTTTTAATTTAGCTCTGAAGCTCATATGACCCTTTTAGAAATGATCATAATACGTTGGGCGCCATTTTTTTTAATTAAAGGTTTTTCCAAATTTTAGTTCTATAGTGAAGCTCAAAGGTGTACAATTTTGACATGTTGGGCGCCATTTTCTTTTTATTTGTGATTCAATAATTTTTCAACATTTTGTCTTCCTTTTCTTCTTCTTCTTTTCCAGCTCTTCAATATGAAACCCCACCCAAATCCACCCGCCTGCTATGGTGGCATTTTGATCTTTGCCTGGCCCATTAGCATAATTATTGGCCTAATGATACAGAGTTTCATTACCGCCTGGGGTATCGATCATCGTAAACGGGTCTTTCAGAAGAGACATCAACAGCTGGCGCGCATGCAATCACGACCGCGTGAAACCCGCGAAGAGGCGAGGCAGCGAAAATTCCGTTATCTATATCAGGTGCGCACGGCACGGGGTGATATTATATCGCAGGTGAGTTGGAAGAGGGCCTGAAGTTTTGGGGAAGTGGAGAGAGGAAAAAAAAGAGTAAAAGAGAGGTTTAAGTATTCAAATAAAGAGAATACAAAGCTCTTAGGACCACAGTGTTGCTTGCAGATCTAAAGAATCCAACCATGTTGGGCGCCATTTTATAAAATTAAAATTTTCTAATTTTCTTTTTTATACAAGTCTACTATTTTTTCCTATCTGAAGGGTGTTCAGCAGTTTTTTAGCTCTTTAGACCGCAGGTGTCTCCTCTCTTTTTCGATCGAAAAAGAGAAAATCAGATTTTTATTTAATTATGAATTCTTTCTTTTCTTTTCCAGAATTTCGTATCAGCCTTGCAAAAACGCATCCAGCTAAGCGGCACCGAAACACCCTCAGAACGTTCTCTGAAAACCAGTTCCAATGAACGGAATACCTTTCGCAGTGATCGTACACATTTTACGACAATACCACCCGATTCGGATATGTTTGATAAAATCGAGATTGTGCGTGATATAGCATAACAAACGGTATATAATTATATGTAAAGCGTGATAAAACGACGATAAAGAAGAAGAAGAAAATGAGATAAAGAAAGAGAAGAGTAAGAATAATGTATAGAATGGGCACAGGGTTGCCATTAAATATTTAAAAAAAACAAAAAAAAAAAACATTTGACAGTTGCGTCTTAAATAACTTTTTAAGCTTTAAATGGTTTCCCAAAACAAACAAAAAAATTGAGAAACTTGGACGAAACAGAAAAAAATAAATTGAGAGCACTTTAAGTAAAGTTTTGAAAAAAATGAAAAGAAAAAAATGAAATGACATCCTTACAGGTTTTTAATGGTTCCAAAACATAAACACACATAACCTAAAAGTTACAAACAACAAAACCAACAAAAGAAATATAATTTTTTTTCTCCTAGTTTATAAAAAATAATACCAAAAAAGTGATTATGCTTTTTAAGCACTATTTATTAATAATTATTATTAATAATTTAGTTATATTATTTTATTTACTATTTTTTAAATTAAAAAAAAATAATAATAATACTAATTTATGTTTACTATATGTTTTTTAAAACAAAAATCACACACAAAAAACAAAACCAATACAGTTTGTCATGAAAAGAGAAAATTTTTCACGTTTTTTCACGTTGGGCGCCATTTTATAAAAGTGCGAGTTTATCCCAATTTTAGTTCTATAGTGAAGCTCTAAGGTATATTTTTGTCATATCTGAACCCAAAAAAAAAGTTTTCATTTTGGGCGCTATTTTGATAAAATTTTAAATAATTTTTTTTTCTATGTAGCGTGTCCAAATCATTATCAATAACACATTTCCTACAAGTTTTTATGCAACTTAAGCTGATCATAACACGTTGGGCGCCATTTTATAAAACTGCGAATTTTCCAAATTTCAGTTCTATAGTGAAGCTCAAAGGTATTTTTTTTCTCATATCTTACTTACTTAGCTGGCTTGTGACAGAACTTTCATACCATAAGCCGAGCTTAGAAAAGATTTCCAGTCGCGTCGGTCTTTTGCGCAGTTTTTCCAATTTGAAAGACCATTTTCGGCAATGTTGTCTTCGACTTGATCTTTCCATCATATTCGCGGCCTTCCCCTTCTGCGTGAACCATCAGCTGGTTCGCTTTTATATGCCTTTTGGGCTGGGGCATCTTCATCCATTCTTACAACATGGCCTAGCCAACGTAGTCGCTGCAGCTCAATACGTCTAACAATGCTGATGTCCAAGAATAGCTGGTACAGTTCATGGTTCATTCGCCGCCAATATTCACCGTCGACGCAGATCGGCACGTAGATCTTTCGGAGAATTTTTCTTTCAAACACCCCCAAGAGCTGCCTCATCTGCTTGCGTAAGTACCATGCTTCAGATCCATATAATAGCACGGGTAGTATCAGCGTCTTGTAGACGGTGTGAGTGTGGTCTGGCGGGAGCTGGCCTTGCTTTTGAGGTATATAAAATTTTTGACTGCCTCGAAGCTGTAGTTCGCAAGTTCCACAGTTGTTCCGAGTCTACTGGACGTCTTGCGCGTTGATACCATCAGCTTGGTCTTCTCGCCGTTTACTGCCAGACCCACTGTGGCAGAATCCTTTTCAATTCGTTCAAAGGTGGCTGTTACCGCTCGCAATGTTCGACGCATCGCATCGGCGTAGTTGGCACATATCGTCTTGTATCCTTTTTTGTGCACGGGACACAGGATGCTGAGGTTCCAATCATTGGGCATGCATTCTTCTAGTCAAATTGTACTAATCAGCTGGTGCATGCTCGGTTTGTAACCCATTGGCACCTGCTGCTTTATAATTCTTCATCCGATTTATTGCTATTCTGACTTCATATTGGCTGTCATCTATTATTGGAAGTTTTTCAAAATGCTCCTTCCAGGTTTCCTTCTTCATCTCTACAGGAGGATGTGCCTGCACCAAAGCCTTCGGTTTGGTGTTTTACCCGTTGGTAAAATTTTCGGACTTCATTGTGACTCCTGTACATCTCGATTTGTCATATCTGAACACAAAAAAAAAAGTTCTCACGTTGGACGCCATTTTGTGATGCTCAAAGATACTTTTTTGTCGTATCTAACACAAAACCATTTTTTCACGTTGGGCGCCATCTCATGACAATTTTTTATATATTTTTTTTATTTCTATGTAGTTATCCAAAGTATAGTTTCCTCACTCTCCAAAAGTTGTTACTTAATTTAACTCTGAAGCTCATGTGACACTTTTATCGAATTATAGAGATGATTACATCACGTTGGGCGCCATTTAATAAAACTGAAGATTTTCCGAATTTTTTTCCTATAGTAAAGCTCAATGGTACATTTTTGACTTATCGTAACATAAATCAAAATTGTGTTCACGTTGGGCGCCATTTTATGACATTTATTACATTTTTTGTTTCTATGTAGCGAGTCCATATTATCGTTTCCTCATTCTCTGAGGCTCAATGGTCCTTTTATCGTAGTAATGATCATGTCACGTTGGGCGCCATTTTAAAAAATATATAAATAATAAAAAATATAAATAAATTTCTATTTTTCTCTATACATTTTCTTCTGACAAACTGTATATAAGTTTCTAACACACCATATATTTTAAAAACAAAACGGAAAATTCTATTCCTAATTTATAAAAAAACACAGGGATTATAATTAAATTTTGTTTATACATATATGTATATGTAAATGTTTCTAAATAAATGTTTAAATAAAATACACAATATTAAAAACTTAATTTAAAATAAAGAAAAAAATAACAAAATTAAAATTTGAAAACAGAATTGTGAAGAAAATTAAAAAAGAACAATTTAGAAAGGAATGTTAAAAACAGGTTGGAAAATGTTAAAAATAAAAGATTAAATATTTTATATATGAGAAAATACAATTATTTGATATATTAAATGTATTTATAATTCAAAAAAAAATATTGTTTTTTAATTACAATTTTTTTATAATTATTAAGGAATTATTACAAAAATTAAATTTAGATTATATTTTTAATTTTTTTATTTAATAAAGTTTGTTATAATTAAAAAGTCTTTGTTTCTGTTAATAAAAAAAATATCCATAAAACGAATATATTTTTTTATTTTAAAAACGGGTTTTAAATTATTAATACTTATTTATTTTTTATATTAAAATATTTTTTTTTAAATAAAAGATTTTTGTTAATACAAAGAAATTCAGTTATTTTTATATAAAACCAAAATTTAAATGTATTTTTAAAAAGGAATTTTTAATTCAAAAAAAATTTCTTTTAATTGAAAATTTTTAATAACAGAAAAAAATTATGTATGTATTTTATATTTATATAGAGAAAAGAAAGTGTATACCAAAAAAAAAAAAACTTGATACCATTCCAAATATAATGTGCATTTATATGTTCTATTTGTTTCTCTTGAAATGTAATTGCATTTATTATAAACACACATATATATATATATATATATATATGATTGCATTTATTTTTTAGGCTTTTAGAAAAAAATAAAATAAGATTATAAGATTAAATAAAATAAAAATAAAAAACAAACAATAAAAAATGTCCCAGTGAATTTAAAACACAACAAAAATACTTAAACGAAAATATAACAACACAAATAAAACACACAGAATAATTCTTCCACAAATAAAATGCTAAAAAGAATTTTAAAACATAAATTGTACATAAGTAAAAATGAAATAAAAATGGAAAATTAAAAAAATAAAGAAATAATAAATTTGCTCATTGGAAAGTGAAGAATATTTTTAACACTGTATTTATAAATTTCTAATTTTTTTTTATAAATTTAAATTATAAGGTGATCTTTTCTAATTAATTATATATAAAAAATTAAAGATGTATTAAAAAAATAGCAATCATCACTGATCACAAGCCATTAATCGATCAGTTAAACCCTTACCGTTAAACACACGCCATGCCACAATTCAAACTAGCGAACCCTTATACATTTAAATGGGCTCCTTTAACAGTTGCGTATGGCATGTGTGGCATATTTCGGAAAATTACCATAAATTGAAGGAATTTAAAACAGTATACAAACCAAGATGTATTTAATAAGGTGTATGCATCAGATACAACAACAAATATATTACAAAAACCACAATTAGTTTTTGACAAAAATAAACAAAAACAACTATTTATTTTTCATTTTTGCCAAGAACTATTCTTTGAGGAATATAATGTTTGTATTCGTGGGTTGTTGTTATAGAAATTTAATTGTCATGCTGACAATTAGTTTTTGACAAAAATAAACAAAAACCATTATTAATTTATTTATAATTTTTCTCAAGAACTATTCTTTGAGGAATAGTTAATGAATTTGTGTATTCTTGAGTTGTTGGCGGTTTTATAGTACGTTTACATTTAACCAGATTTCGTTAACCCAGTGGGTTTTAATTGTCAATTCCTTTGCATATATGTATGTCAAATAAATCCTCATAAAGTAGGTTAACCCGGTAAAAAGTTCTAATGAATATGCCGTTCTAGGTCAATAAAAAAATTAAAATTAAAAAAATTGCGATTAATTTTGAAAAGTTTCCCACATGTAAATTACAATCTATTTTTTGCGAAGAAGTGGCTTCAAATTTCGCCTTCTTAAAGTAAATTTAAGGGACATAATTGTACGTTTATATTGTACCGGATTACGTTAAACCAGTGGGTATATATCCTCATGAAGGAAGGTTAACCCGGTAAAAGTTTATAATGTAAATGCCGTTTAAATCCCCGGCCAAAGACTAAATCAAGGAAATTGTGTTGACTGTATACAATCTGTCCATAGATTTTGACATAAAATATTTGGACCAAATTAGGGGTCCCCCTAAACTGATTTAAGGGGACCCCCCCCCATTCTCGGGGTCAAAAATGTTTTTGACTTAAATCGAATCTACACTAACTGAAGAATGTCCCTACAAAATTTCATGTGGAAATCTCAAGAACTCTTGAAGATATAGCCGATTTATTCTGTCAGCATCAAGTGACGGCTGAAGGGCTTCTCAAACTTTAAACGCGTTTTTCTCTAAACGAATGGC